CCCCCGTGCATCACCCCAACACAGTACCCAGCACAAAATGTTGTCAGGGAGCTCGACCGAAGGCCCCGCCGCGCGCATGCGCCACCCCCACCCAGTACAGCGCTTCGTGGCCCCATAAGAAGCTTCACCGAAGGCCCCAGTGGCACCGCTCGCATGCGTCAACCCCACCCAGTACAACGCTTCGTGGAGCGATAGGGGGTTCCGCCGAAGGCTTCAGTAGCACCGCCCGCATGCGGTTCCCCAACCTAGTGCAGCCCTCCGTGGCCCCATAGGAAGCTCCACCGAACGCTCCAGTGGCGGTGTTCGCACGCGGTTCCCCCACCCAGTACAGCGCCCTGTGGCCCCATAGGGAGCTCCACCGAAGGCTCCAGTGGCGGCGTTCGCATGCACCACCCCCGCCCGGCAAGCACAACGCGTCGTGGCCCCATGGGGAGCTTCACTGAAGGCCCCACTGGTTGTACTCGCAGCGTTTCGTTGCTCCGTAGAGAGCTCCACCGAAGGCCCCCGCCGCCCTATTGCGGCGCACCCCTGGCACTGCTCGCGGCCCCGCAGCGCGTCACGCTTAAAGCACCAGTGGCAGCGCCCAATTGGCGGCCCCGCCCCACATCGGCACACCCTTCGCATGCGTCATGGCCCCTTATGTGGAGATCCCCCGAACGCGATGCCAGCAACGACGGCACTGACAACTGGGTATAGTTGGGTCCTTCGCTAGGATAATGCATTGACGCGAAGACACGGACTTGCCGATGGCAAAACATATGCCTACGGATTTGCCTGCAGGTTGCCTTCAGTTTGCCTTTCGCCCGTGACAGTACGTAGTAGCACAGAAACCCATGGGGCTCCCCCATAGGGCTCCCCCATCGGGGCCCCCACAGGGCTCCCCCAATCGGGCGCACCCATGGGTTCCCGTCCTAGGGCTTTCCCACTGGGCTCCCCATCGGGCTTCCCCATCGTCATAGGGCTCCCCCGTGGAGTTTCCCCGTAGGTCTCCCCCTAAGGGCCACCCCATGGGGCTCCGCCATAGGAGCAAGAGGCGGACCCCGCGCGTCTCGCGCTTGTTGGCACACCTGGCGCACCTGGCGACTTGAGAGGTTGCACAGCAATCGGAAAGTGGCGATGTCGCTCGGGACTTCCGTTCAAAAACAAACAAGCGGTTTTCCTGCCACCTGAGAGTGGCAGTTTCGCTGGGGACCCCCTCAAAGAGCATCTCTGGTCGGTGTCCATGCCGCCAGAGAGTGGCGAGGTTGTTCAAGATTCCTTGGCAGCCGCAGGTCTCGTCCATTTCCCCAGAAGCTTTCGATATTCCAGGAACAACCTCCTGCTGCAGTGCTTAACACCCTGCAGGCGAGAATTCCAGACGAGCTCTGGGGATTTCGGCAACAGGGGTTGTTCAATGTTGGCTGTGTCCTCGCCCTTCCTGCTGCAAGAAGCCCCTGGAAAGCCCCTCGAGAGCCCGAGGAGGCCGAAACATCTGCGAAATCTTCGTCACGCACGGCACGATTAGGCATTGCAATGCGTTGCATTGAACAGCAGCATCCTTCCACAGTCGACCGCATCGAGCCCTCGCTCCAACCGTCCAACCCTGACTGTCCCTCCAAACCCCTCCTCCAATCATTCAGCCCTCCCTCAAACCCTCCGTCCAACCCTCCCTCCAAGCTTCCCTCCAAACCTTCATCCAGCCCTCCCTCCAGCCCTCCCTCCAGCCCTCCCTCCAGCTCTCCCTCCCTCCCTCCCTCCCTTTAGCGGTGCTCATGTGCCCCGTGGTGCTCTGGGGCATTGGCGGTTTTCTGCCAGTTCTGTGGCGCCCGCAGGCGCATCGGTGCTAGTTCGCAGCCACATCCACAGCCACATCACTTGCTTCAACGCTTCTGCCTGGCCGCGCTCCTGCGCCGCTGGGCCTCGGCGAAGGTATCCGCTGAGCTCCGTCATGGTCGGGATGCCGGGGTCTGAGTTTGAGTATTGCTGCAGGTGTTTGCGTATCATTGTTCGTCACACCCAGACATAAGCATTGCGTTGCATGGGATCGCATCAAGCAGCAGTGGACAGCAGTGCATGTCAGAAGAAGCGCGAGTTCTACCGGTTTTGGCGATGCATCGCATAGCATGGCATGGCACGTTGTAGCGTCAATATGGTCACATTGCATTACGCTGCAATGCGTTAAAATGCGAACCATAGCAGTGCATCGTATCGCATAACATAGCACAGCGTGGCGTCCATTCCTCCGTACGTCAGCCCTCAACACGTATTCTTCCTCACCCTCCCGTGCCCAGTCGTTCCCACCCCCATTCCTCCCACTCTAATCCCGGATCCAATCCTTCCAACTCAATTCATTCCCCCCGTTTCACTCCTTCCAGCCTCCTTCGCACTTATCCCACTCCTCGCGAGACCAATCCTTCCCATCTCTCCGCTCTCCTCCCCACTGCACTCCTGCACGCACCCTGGTCTCTCCCGAATTCGATCCTCCCAACCTCATTCACCGCCACTCCACCACCCCCCCGTATTCCTCCCTCCTCCAGCCTCCTCCGCACTTCTCTCACTCCTCCTGAGTCGATTTTCTCCCATCCCTACTCGCCCCCACTCCACCCCCTTGCATCCCTCCTTCCTCCTCCACACTCTTCGCACTCCTCCTGAGTCGACTTCCTCCCATGGCTACTAGCCCGCACTCCATCCCCTTGTATCCCTCCTTCCTCCTCCGCACTTCTCAAACTCCTCCGGAGTCAACGTTCTCCCATCCCTACTCGCACACACTCCATCTCATCGTATTCCCTCCTCCAGCCTCCTCCGCACTCCTCGCACTCCTCCTGAGTCGAATTCCTCCCATCACTATTCACTCCCACGCCACCCTCTTGTACCCCTCCCTCTTCCTCCAGCCTCCTCCGCACTCATCCCACTCCTCCTGAGTCGACTTCCTCCCAACCCTATTCGCCCCCACTCCACCCCGTCGTATTCCTCCCTCCTCCTCCAGCCTCCTCCGCACTCCTCGCACTCCTCCTGAGTCGAATCCCTCCCATCCCCACCCACCTACACTCCGCGCCCTCGAATTCCTCCCTCCTCCAGCCTCCGCACTCCTCGCTCTCCTGAGTCGAATTCCTCCCGCCCCCCCACCCGTCCCTGCAACCCTCTCTCCAACCCTCCCTCCAACCCTCCCTCCACCCCCCCTTTCGAATTCTCCCACCAACTCTCCATCCAAACTTTCCTTACAACTCTCCAGCCCTCCCTCCAGCCTTCCCTCCAATCCCTCCCTCCAGCCCTCCCTCCAATCCTTCCCTCCAATCCTTCCCTCCAATCCTTCCCTCCAGCCCTCCCTCCAGCCCTCCAACCTTCCCTCCAACCCTCCATCCAGCTCTCCCTCCAACCCTCTCTCCAGCTCTCCCTCCAAGCCTCCCTCCTTTCAGCGGTGCTCATGCGTCCAATGGTGCTCCCAGACCTTAGCGGTTGCTTTTGACAGGCAGCCAGTCAGCGGGGCATACAACGATGTAGCCAATGAGGCAACCAACAAGGCAGCCAACGAGGCAGCCAACGAGGCAGCCAACGAGGTAGCGAACCGGGCAGCCGGTGAGGCAGCCAACGGGCAGCTAGCGAGGCAGCCAACGAGGTAGCCAACTAGGCAGCCGACGACGCAACGAACAAGAGAAGCACAGAGGGGCTCACGCTACGACTGCCACTCTGCAGTCGGCCTGATTAGAGCAAAATGCAGTGGCGTGATTCTTATCACCAGCATCTCACAGCGCATATGCCCCCACCAGCCTCCCATCCTCACTGGTGTGAGTCGTTCGGGCTGGTGTGAGTCGTTCGGGCTCTTCTGGTGTGAGTCGTTCGGGCTCTTCGTCCTGGTGTGAGTCGTTCGGGCTTCTCGTTGTTCGGGATCCTGGTGTGAGTCGTTCGGGCCCCTCCTCCTGGTGTGACTCGTTCGGGCTCCTCGTGGTGTGAGTCGTGGTGTGAGTCGTTCGGGCTCCTCGTGGTGTGAGTCGTTCGGGCGCCTCGTCCTGGTGTGAGTCGTTCGGGCCCCTCCTTGTGGTGTGAGTCGTTCGGGCTCTTCGTGGTGTGAGTCGTTCGGGCCCCTCGTCCTGGTGTGAGTCGTTCGGGCTCCTCGTGGGGCCTCTTGGGGGCCTCTTGGAGCCTCTTGGGGCCTCTTGGGGGCCTCTTGGGGGCCTCTTGGGGGCCTCTTGGGGGCCTCTTGGGGGGGGCCTCTTGGGGGCCTCTTGGGGGCCTCTTGGGGGCCTCTTGGGGCCTCTTGGGGGCCTCTTGGGGGCCTCTTGGAGGCCTCTTGGGAGGCTCCTGGGGGCCTCTGGGGGCCATATTGGGGCCTCTTGCGACCTCCTCAGAAGCGCAAGTGAGCGCTGCCCCCTGAGAAGGACAAAATGAGCCTAAAACCTTCGTAAAATCAATGATTTTGCTATGAAGGAAGAGGAGCGCTGCCCCCTCAGGATGCCAAAATGGGGCCAAAACCGTAGTAACATGAATGATTTTGGCTTCAAAGAAGAGGAGAGGGGCCAAACTGTGCCCCCCCGTCGGGGCCAGAATCCTCGTGAGGGTCGTCGTTTTTTAGCCCTCCCAGGAGTCGAAAAAGACCCCTCCAACGACCCGCGGGGCGCCCTCTCCAGGCCCAGGGGGAGGGGGTAGGGGGAGGGGTAAACCCCTCCCCGAAGGGGAAGAAGGGGGGTTGAGAACAGAGAGAGCTCGCTAAACCACTCACGCCCAAAGGGCTGGTGGGTGCCCCAACTGACAACGTGAGGGGGGTACCGCCGTTGGCGTAAAAACGCACACCAGGCATAACGGACAACGCTGCTGTGTTCAAAACCCCCGCGCCCCCCAAAGTCAATGCTAAAAACGGAGTTGCTTTGGTGGGGTTGTTTTGGGCGTGCTCTTTATGCCGATGCGTGCACCCCAACGACGGCCGCGAACGCAACATTGCAACGGGTGGTCCAGGGGCGGCACCGTCGAAGCAACGGTTGTGGATGGGCGCCTGCGTATGCCAACAGCGGTAAGCAGCGCCCGAGGATGCAGGAGCACCTGCCGCCGTCCGCCCACGCGAGCGGCCGCTCCGAGTTCTCCGAGGCGCACCGGCAGATGGTCGCGGCGCAGCGACCGGAGGTGTTGGCGCTCGGCACGAGGGAGGATCTTATAGAAGCAAGAGGTCATGATAACGAATCATTCGGGCGTTTCCCCACCCTCCTCCCGCACTCCTCCTCCTCCTCCTCCTCCTCCTCCTCCTCCTTCTCCTCCTCCTCCTCCTCCTCCTCCTCCTCCTCCTCCTCCTCCTCCTCCCCCTCCCCCTCCTCCTCGTCCTCCTCGTCGTCCTCCTCTCCTCATCTTCCTCCTCCTCCTGCCCAGAAGATCTGGGGGCGTCCAGGGAAGTGTTGCGGCTGCGAGGGAGGCAGATCGGGCCGAACGAAAGGGGGGGATTGGGAAAGGGGGGGATTGGGAAAGGATTGGAATTTGAAAATCAGCTACGTGAGCTGATTCTCAACCCCCCCTTTGCTATCCCCCCTTTCGCCCGGCCCGATCAGACCAGAGGAGCAAGAGGTCAGAGGAGAAGCAGAGGAGCAGAGGGGGGGAAGCGAGAAGGAGAAGGCCCTCTCAGAAGGTGGCGGGGCTTCTCAGAAGCCCGCCAGCTTTCTGAGAGCTTTGTTGCGCTTTCGGGGAAGGCTTGCACAACTTCGCAGAAGGCCAGGGGACTCCCGAGCCTTTGAGAAGGCCCGCCCCTTCTCACCTCCCCCCCAGGCTCGCCGCCGAATGTTTCCAAGACTCGAGGAAGTAGCAACGGCAGAAGCATAAACTTTCGGCGCTCCGCGCGGATTTCTTGGATCTGCGCTGGGACCCCCTGGCGGCGCCTCCAGCGCCGCCCCTGGCGCGCTCCCCGTACCAGGGTAGGGGGTTCAGCGCAGATCCAAGCACTCCGCGCGGACATCCAAAAGTTTATGTTTGTGCAGTTTCTGACTCCCTCTTAAGACTGCGAAATCTTCCGCACGGGCTCCAGAAGCGGTGCCGATAGACATGCTGGAAGTCCTGGAACTAAGACGGAGCCAGGACGAGGATAACATCGGGTGAGGAGAAATCGAGAATCTCTGAGATCTGGCGGCTCTGGAGGATGTTTCGGTCGCCGCGGCAATCTCAGAGCGTTGCAGAGCACTCTGAGAGCGTTCTGGAACGCTCTGGAACGATTTGATCCTCGTCTTAGCCTCGTCCGAGGAACACATCCCGAGCCCGTCATATCGTGATATCGCCCTCGTCCCAGGACCACCCGGTGTGCGAGTACGTCCAGCGCATGCGGCGCGCGGGCGAGTGGGGCTCTGGGCTCGAGGCGCCGCGGGAGTGAAGGCTCAGTGAGAGGCGGAAAAGTTGCCGATGCTTCTACAGTCAAAGCGCATAGTAAGCACGAACGACTTTCCAAGGTTCCCCTTCTGATGTTCCAGCCGATTCTGCTTTGACCAGCAGCACGAATTTCGAGCACCGAGACAGCACCGAAACTGGAGGTTGTTTACGTGTCGGACCCTGCGAAACGATGTTCCTTCGACATTTCGCTAGCGCGTTGGGCATACACTGTTTCGATACGCTTCTGGGCACCCGAAATCATTTCTGGTATGTGGACCTTGAGTGCGATGGGAGCGATATGAAATTATCCGTGCATCCTTGCCCCTTCGGCCCGTCCTTGGTCACTTTCGCTGGCCGCGTCCGGCTCGAAAAGCGTCGGCTTGGCCTTCCGAGGCCCTTGCATCTTCATACACGTTGACTGTACTGATGCCTCTACCCATCCATCGTTTTCATCTTCTTGAGCCTCCTGGGAGGCCCTCGTCGCCGCGGCTGGATCCGCCTCGGGGTTCTGCTCAGAGCGCACCCGTCAGAGGTCCTCTGAGCAGCGATCTCGGAGGAGGAGGAGGCGGGAGGGGAGGAGGAGGGAGGAGGACGAGGAGGGAGGAGGAGGAGGAGGAGGAGGAGGAGGAGGAGGGAGGAGGAGGAGGAGGAGGAGGAGGGGAGGAGGAGGAGGAGGAGGAGGAGGGGGGAGGAGGAGGAGGGAGGAGGAGGAGGAGGAGGAGGAGGAGGAGGAGGAGGAGGAGGAGGAGGAGGAGGGAGGAGGAGGAGGAGGAGGAGCTCCCCGAGCAGGGGGTGCCACGCTCAGCATCACAGCGGCGCGTGAGCCCCGGCCAGTGGCCAGCTCGGGGGCAGCGGAGGGGCAGGGCCGAGCCACGGAAAAAGGCGAGAACCTCGGGTGCGAGGCCGAGCGAAGCAAGGGGGAGGGCCCCGGAGGAGGAGGAGAAGAAGGAGGAGGATGACGAGGAGGAGGAGGAGGAGGAGGAGGAGAGAAGAGGACGGAGGAAGAGGGGATAAGGGCAGAGGAGGGAGGAGGAGAAGGAGGAGGAGGAGAAGGAGGAGGAGGAGGAGGAGAACGAGGGGGGTACGGAATTTGCTGCATGCAGCTGGTTTCGGCCCCACCGAGGGGCCCATTCCTCGATACATGGCCGCCTCCGGCGCCGGGAGGCGCCGGGAAAATCAGCTACGTAAGCTGATTCTCAAACCCCCCCCTTTGCTATCCCCCCCTTTGCTATCCCCCCCTTTCGCCCGACCCGACGGGTGCGAGGCCGAGCGGAGCACGGGGGAGGGCCCCGGACGGCTCGGGCAGTGCCCAGGAGGGGGGCGGTCCACCACCCAGGGAGGCCACCAGCTCCCCTCGAGAGAGGCGAGGGCTCCAGGGGCCCAGCGCGAGGAGGTCGTCTTGGACGCTGGGGGGGGTCGCCGCGGGGAGGGCTCCGGGAGTGCTCCCGGGGGGGGGGTCGCTGCCTCGAGGGCGTGGCGGCCCTGCAGTGGTGCCTGGCGTTGCTCCGGGTCCTCTCTTGGTTTTTGGTGTAGGCCGTGGGGGCCCATGCCAAGAGGCACCCTCTGCTGGCCTCCAAAGGTGCCCTGGGCTTCTTGGCGTTCGATGACTTTGCCATGGGAAGCGTGACGTTCCCACACCAAAAATCAATGAACGTCCTCGGGTCTCAGGATTGGGTTTCTTGGGTAAGATTCTGGTGGTCGGGCTCCTACTGTACCACACCCTCCCCGCCCCGGTCAGATTCCGCCGCACCAGGCCACGTTCCGTGCGCAAAAATCCACGCCCCCGGGGAGGTGACCTCGTAGACCGGTCCCACGGCCAGGACACTCGCCCACCCACCGGGGCTGCTGAGCGTAGCACACGCATTTAGTCGGGCGGAGCCAACGCGGTTCTCTGGAGCCCATGCAGGAGCCCCCATTCGGCGCAGGCACTCCTGCGGGGAAGCGCGTGTTCACAGGTCTTTCCAGGCTCCTTGCCATCGTGAGCCTCGCCGTGGACCCTGGAGGTCTCGACCCCGAAGGAGGAGGAGGAGGAGGAGGAGGAGGAGGAGGAGGAGGTGCTTCGTCCTGAGTCGTTCTCTGACGGCCCCAGGGTCCAGTGAGGGCCCCCCAGAGGTAGAGCCCTGCCCCAAAGCACCCCGTCGCAAGTTTTCGTCGCGGTGCGAGGGGGCCGGCGTTCGGGGGTCGAAGATCGTCCGCCGGACTCGTCTTGGGGTGCATCCCGGTCCGGATCTCAGGGTGAATGCAGGCATGGCGACGAGAAGCGTCCAGGAGGCTCAGCAAGGCAAAGCAAACGAGTTCAAAGGCCAACGTGTTTAGTTTGAGGCGCTGCGCTCGCAGACTGGGCCGTGGGGATCTCCAGGCTCTCTGCGCGGCCTACCGCTACCGCCGGCCCGTGCGGGTATGGAGCGCGGGCGGGTACTCGGAGCTCTGCCCGCCCTACAGCCTGCTGGACACAGGCCTCAGGGGGGGAGGGGCAGGAGGAGGAGGAGGAGGAGGAGGAGGAGGAGGAGGAGGAGGAGGAGGAGGAGGAGGAGGAGGAGGGAGGGTGCTGCACGCGTGTTTCGCTTCTCCCTTCATCGGCACCTCGTCGTTCGACTCTCTAAGGTACTATTTCGTATTTCGCTTCGATCTCCTTCTCTACTTCACCGTCTGGTTGGCGCATACTCTTTGCCCCTGCGGGCACTCTGTCTTTGGCTTCGCCCCGTGCGCCTTTCTTTTTTCCGCTGCGCCAGCCAGGCGTGCTTTGTTCGTCTTAGGCTTAAGTCGGCCTCTTTTTGCACCACATCAGAACGCTGCGTGCCGCGTGCATGAAGTCCGATCAAGGTCAAATAGAGAGGAGGGAGTTCCAGAGTAAACCCAAGACGCAGCAGCGGCACAGGAAGAACCAACAAGGGATCCCTCCGCATGACCCCCGAAAAGAAAACCTTCTGACTGCGGGGAATGCCCCCCTGGAAGGCGAAGGCCATCATGGTTTTTGCACTTCAGGCGAGAGCCCTGCTTTGACGGGAGGTTGCCACCCGCGCATCTAGCTATACAGACGGTGAAACCACACAGTCTGAGGCCGTGTCCAGCGAGCGCCCCGCCTCTGACACGCAGCCACATCCTCGGGCCGCGCATGTGCCCTCCAAAAGCTTACACGTCCGGCGAAAACAGAACAACACCCAGGAGGTCCCGAGCGGGAACCGCCGACCTCCATCCGTGCAGCTGTTGCACAAGCCTGGACGACTGGCAAGTGTGGCCAGGCAAGTCTCAAGCGAAAGGCACGGTCTGTACAGGGGAGCACCCTCCATCCGTGTAACGATATGGCAGCTGTCAAGGCGGACGTGCGCGATGCGAAGGCGAGAGCAAGGTTTTCAAAAAAAAAAACACCTCGCCCTCCATCGCGTACCGCGTACCTGGTTGAAGGTTATAAGACGAATCTGCGCGGCACGACGGCGGGGGCCACATTTTGAAACTACCCCCGTCCATCCGTGCACGTACTTGCTAGAAACTTCTAAGACGACTGTGTGTGGCGCTAGGGCGAGGTCCGCGTTTTGAAAAGGAGCCGCCATCCATCCGGGCAAAAAGGGACTGCCTCCCATCCGCGCATCATCCCGAATACTTTAAGACGAATGTGCGCGGCGCGATGTCGAGAGGCACATGCTGAAAAGGAACCGCCCTCCATCCGTGCAACAACTGGAAGCTGTTAAGACGAATGCTCGCGGCGCTGAGGCGAGAGACACATGTTGAAAACCACGCCCCCTGTCCGTGTAACCGATTGAGGCGAGTAAGTCACAGGTGTCCGGCGCGAAATCGAGAGCCACAATTTGAACACCATCCTCCTCCACTCATGTACAGCATGGTGGTTTTGTGATAGATGTGCGTGGCACCACAAGGGAGGGCCACATGTTGAAAATGACCCCCCTCCATCTGCGCAACGGCTGGGACTTTGAAGCTTCAGGGTCATCAACGGGGAGGAAGTCTCTGGCGAAACGTCTGGTCCGCCCTGCCGACATGAGTGATTGCCAGGCGAAAAAGAAAACGGCTGTCCGGCTAAATCGCGGCTGGCTTGTTTAGGGTTCGGGTTGTCCGGAATCGATCCAGGATGGGACAACAGCCAGGGTGGATTTCGAGGGCGGGAGGAGGCTTGCATTAAGTCGGGCATGTCCCCCTACAGGAGGAATAGTCAAGAATAGTCCAAAAATAGTCTGGGGGCGATTTGTTTTACTATTTCTGACCATGCTGAATATTTTTGATAAGTTGTTCTTTGTCATCCAATATCTGCCTGCAGGAGGATTTTCCCGACCTAAGATTTGCACAGCTTTAAAATGACACGGATGATCATACTATTAATCAACAGAAGAATAGTACGATGACCAATTATACGAATAATACGCACGATAGTAAGATTAATATTACTAATATTAAGTGTAGTAGTAAGGATAACAAATCGTAGATCTAATAATCAGAATCATCGTCATCATCATCATCATCAGCATTGGATCTGACGGGCAGTACGCCATGCATTGCTGCGAGTCTGCACTCCTGAGCACAAGTAAGTTTTCAAGAGGTGGCGGTGTCTGATTCTATGACTTCTTGCACTGCTCCCCAGCACGACCCGTCGATCGTGGCGATGGCGCGCGTATGCGGGTTGCCCTGACGACTTGGCTTGGCTTGCCTGCACGGCGGCCAGGCCCGCGGCAGCCTTCTCCTTGGCCTCGGGGCCGTCGGGGCCCTAGATCCTGGCCATGCCCTCCGCGACGTTCGAAATCGCGGCTGCTGCTCGTACGAGGGACTTGGACCCATCCATCTCCAGCTCCTGGTCGTTGGGCTCGCGCAGGTCGGCGGCGTCGGGTTCAGGCGAGGCCGCCGCCGCACTGGCCAAGCCTGTAGCGGTGCCAACCATTAGAGCAGCCATGGGAGCCTCGGGTTCTCCATCTGGTGCGTGGCCCACTTAAGGAAATAAGCCATCATCTGCTGCGCGGGGTACTGGGGCAGGCTGCTGGCTGGTGGCACGATCACGTTGCTCTTGCATAGTCTTGAACATCTCCGCGAGCTTGGACACCCTGTGGCGGAGTTCTGGTGGCGCGCGGCTGCCCACGGGCATGCGCGCCGCGAGGGCCCCTTGAATCGTAAGACAGCAGGTCGGCGTCCTTGACGGCCTCCTGCGCGGCGGCCTGGGTGGTCATGTTGAGTTGGGATTCCAGCTGCTGGATCTCTATCTTGGTGGCCTCAGCTACGACCACGATCTTGCTGCGTTCGGATGTGGTGACAGTGGCGATGACCAGTATGACCACCTCTGGGTCTCGAGCTGCCGGCGCCGCTTGCTGCGCTGGTCGGACAGCGGCTGGGCCTGCTGCTCGAGGGACTTCGGCGCCAAGACTGCTGCGTCGGCCTGCTTGAGCTTGCCAATGGCGGAGGTGTGCCCATCCCCGTCGCGCTTCCATTTCCTCCAGAACGCGACGTGAGCTTGGGCCAGCGCGACAGGGTCGTCTCCAGCTGGTGCGCGACCATCATCACATCTCGGGCGGCGAATGTGACCTCCGGCGGCGGGCGTCTGAGGCCTGGAGGGAAGCGGGAACCGCTGGACTGATCACGTCAGCGACCTGGCTTGGTCGGAGCTGGGGGGGGCGTCCGTGCCGCCGCTGCCGGCTGCGGCTCCTCCAGGCCCCCCCACCCTGGTCGGGAAAGAACTCGAAGCGTCCTCCACACAGCCTGCAGTGCTTAATTAGCAGTACAGTGGCACCAAGCCCAGCCTCTGCAGCCACGCTCCGCACGCGAGACACACTTTGCTTGGACGGCGGCGGCCTGCTTTCTTGTTCGGGACCCAGCGTGAGCACGCACACGAAAAAGCAAAGGACGTGAGGGGCAAAGGGTTCGTTGCAATGACCTACCCTTTTTTTTTTCTCTTTTTCCCATTTTTTTTTCTTGTTTTTTATGTTTTCCCCCTTGATTTTGTTTTCCTTTGTTTGTTTTCCTTTGTTATTCCTCTTTTTTTATTGTTTGTTTCTTCTTTTTTTTGTTTTCCTTTTTTTTTGTTGTTTTCCTTTTTTTTGTTTTCCTTTTTTTTCCTACCCTGGGCGGACCCTGGGAGGTTGGCGGCCGCGCTGGGAGGGGAAGGCGCAGGCACCACGGACCCTCCTTTGGGCCAGGACGGCTTGAGCCAGAGGAGGAACAGGGAGGCGGAGAAGGAGCAGGGGGAGGAGGGAGGAGGGAGGAGGAGGAGGAGGAGGAGGAGGAGGAGGAGGAGGAGGAGGAGGAGGAGGAGGAGGAGGAGGAGGAGGGAGGCGGAGAAGGAGCAGGGGGAGGAGGGAGGGGGGGGATCGAAGAGGAGGAGGGTGACAAAGGGGGGAGGAGGGAGAAGAGGGAAGAGGAGTGAATTCGAGGAGGAAGGGGGAGAGGGAGGAAAGGGACGACGACGGAGACGATCCTCCTCGTCCTCGAGGATCCTCAGTCCTCTCCTCTCCCTTGCCCTTCTTCTAGCTCCGTCCTCCTGAGCCCTCCTCTTTTCCTGCTCCCCGCCCGCCTCCTTCGATCCTCTCCAGCAGCGACGACGACGACGACGACGACGATGACGACGACGACGACAAGGCGCCCCACCGGTGCTGCTGCTGCACAACGGCCGCGACCACTGGGACTCCGCCTCGGGCTCCCCCCCGGCGACCTCGGGGAGCGAGGGCTCCCAGGCCGCGCGGCCGCCGCCGCGCCGCGCCGCCGCTGCCGCCGGCGATGGGTCGAGCCGCCAGCGCCGCGCCGCCGTGCAGGGTCCGCGGGGGCTCCAAGCGTCGCTCGTGCAGGCGGCCCTCGGGTAGCCTCAGAGGATCTTTGATGCCAACCGGCCCGGATTGTTTGCCACCAGATCGCACATCTCTGGGGATGCTTGGGTCGCGACAGCGATGATATGAGAACACACTTTGTGATAGTATGAAAACACGCATGTACACGCGCGCGCAACTTTGTCAATTGATGCCGTTGATGATGATGCTAGTGACGGCGATGCAACGCAGCAAAACGAAGTTGTACGCACACACGGTTTTATCAACTCCACCCCCGCCCCCCCCCCCTAAGCTCTCGGCGGGCAGTCCAATCCGTCCTTCCCCTTCTCGTCCTTTCCCTCCTCCTCCTCCTCCCCCCTCGTCCCCGCAGGCAGTAGGCGTCTCCTGTTCGGCCTGAGCGCACCAGGAGAAGGAGGAGGATGTGGCTGGCGGACGTCGTCTTAGCGTCGTTACTTTCTTGCGCGGTCGTCACGTCGCTGCGTCGCGCTGGCGCGTCCTTGCGCTGCGCCGCTGCGCCGCCGCAGCCGCCGCGAGTATTTCTGGGCCGTTGGCCGCGTGCTGCGCCGTTCGCCTTCTGTCGTCGTCGAAAGGGTTCCAGGATCGATGCTTTTCAACGCATCTGAGCCTCATTGATCCTCCGTGGGCATCTGGAGGCTCCCTGGGACTTTGAGGCCTCCGGCAGCCTTCGGAGACCTCTGAAGATCGCTGGACGCCTCCAGGCGCCATCGGTGGTCGTCGTCTCCGTCGCCATCGTCCTCGTCGTAGTCGTCATCGTCGTCGTCGTTTTCGTCGTCATCGTCGAGGTCGAGGATCGAGGATCTCCATCATCGCAATCGAGAATCGGGGTCGACGAAGTGTCTCCAGTTTCCGCGCAAAGGGTTCCGTGTCGGGCCCCCTGGACCGTGAAAAGCAGGTTTGGGATCAGAGACCAGCCAGGACGGACCCCAGAAGACGAGTTTTAGGCATTGGTTTTGAGCCAGGGTCTGGGATCGACCCAGACGCCCTCAAGTCGTGAACAAAAGTCGTGACCCCTTCGGATTTTTGGCCGTTTTCGGCTCCCAGCACAGGGACCGTGAAAAGACGGCTAGGGGTGAAAAGCCGGTCCCAGGGAAGGGGTATGGTCTGTTCACGCGGCGATGGCGCGCCCGCGATGCCGGCGCATGCGTTCAAGGCTGAATTCCGCACGAGAGAGTTCCGCGGAAGCAGCGAGGGACACGGCAACGCCACAGGACCCGACGGAACTCAACCTTGATCGGGGCCACGATCCCCTCAGGGTTGAATGATCGACGCGGTGCTAAAATCAAAGGAGGAAAAGCCACCCGGACCCGAAAATTAGCGTTTATTGAACAGCCCTGCCCTGTTCGATCCCTTCTGTGAGTGCGTTTGCTACACGGCTTCGCGTGTCAGGGTGATCATCATGGGGGTGGATTTTCTGTCCTCTAAAAAACCTGGCATCGCATGGACGTGTGCCCTTTCTCTCGGCGAGAACCATCGAGGACCATCCTGTACCATCGAGCAAAAAAACATGCACGAAACCGAAAAATACACGGGAAATGGACGTCCGAGCGACGGCAAGAAAAGCTTTGCGCAGACCGACGCCGCGCGAGCCTGCCGCAGAGACCTCGGGGGGCCGCGCGAAGTAATCGCGGTGCCAGGGAGCTGGGCGGATCGAGGCTCTCGCGCGCTCTGGGCCGTCCTCGGGCCTCTGGGGGGCGGACCCCCGCCGTCGTCGTTGTCGCAGCCGCCGTCGCTTCTTCTCGTCGTCGTCACGCCGTCGCGTCGCGTCCTCGTGTCGCTGCGTTGCGTCCTTGCGTCGCCGTCGCCGCCGCCGCCGCCGTCGTCGTCACACCGTTGCGCCGTCGTTGTCGTCGTCATCATCCGTCACCGTCGTCACGCCGCTTCCGGGGACGCATCGTCGTTGTCTCGTCGCTGCGCCGTCCCAGGCGTCGTGGCTGTTGGGACGCTGCGTCGTTCCCAGAAATCCAGCCGCTCCAATTGCTTCGTTGCGTTGGCCCGAGAGGTCTGGACCACTTCCCTGGTTTTTCGTCCCGAGCCGCTTTTTGACGTTCCCAAGGTCCGGCGAGAGCTCCCAGAGGCCGAAAACGGCCAAAAACCATCCGCTCCAATTTTTGTCGGAGTGCCAGATCTCTGGGTTGTCCAAAGGCGCCCTAGAGGGCGCATCCTCCTCGTCTCCGCGGGGGGGGCGGCGCGAGAGCGCGGAGGTAGGCGCCTTCGGTTGTCCGCCGCCCTGCCTCCCTGAGATCCGACGCCGCAAAAACATGCAACATCGCAAAACATCACGACCGGAATCCTGGGCCCCATCTCTTTGCGTCAGTTTTGTCGAGCAGGATCGATTTGCGAGGGCCCCGGAGGCCCGAAATTTGGAGCGAACACGCCTGGCCCGAGAAAGTCGAGTCGCCAAGTTCTCAGCGACTCCTGCGTGCACGGCCGAAGAGGGAGGAGAAGGAGGAGGAGGAGGAGGAGGAGGAGGCTCGACCTTCCCGCGAGGGGGGCGACCCCCGAGCGCAGGCACGGGGTTGGGGGGAAGTAGGCTCTCCCCCCGTCCTGAGTCTCATGCTGCTGCTGCTGCTGCTGCTGCTGCTGCTGCTGCTGCTGCTGCTGCTGCTGCTGCTGCTGCTGCTGCTCCTCCCCATGCTCCTCTCGTCCCCCGTCCCTCCCCCCCTCCTCCCCCCCCGCGAGTCCTTCCTTCCTTCCTTCCTTCCATCCATCTCTCCACCTCCCCCTCCTCCTCCCCCTCCTTCTCCTCCTCCTCCTCCTCCTCCTCACCCTCCTCCTCCTCCTCCTCCTCCTCCTCCTCCTCCTCCTCCTCCTCCTCCTCCTCCTCCTCCTCCTCCGCAGTGGGTGTCCTGGGTGCCGGTCCGTCTGCTGTGGCTCCTGCCGAGCTCTGCGGCCGCTGGCCGCTGCCGCTCCTCGCGTGGCCGCTCCCGCTCCTCGGCCCCCGTCGCGGTCCTCGCCCTCCCGGCCGCGGGAGGGACGGCGGGCAGGGGGAAGAAGAGGCGCAGGAGGAGGAGGATAATGAGGAGGAGGAGGAGGAGGAGGAGGAGGAGGACGAGGAGGACGAGGAGGACGAGGGGGAGGGGGAGGAGGAGGAGGAGGAGGAGGAGGAGGAGGAGGAGGAGGAGGAGGAGGAGGAGGAGGAGGAGGAGGAGGGGGACCTAGACTCCCTCTATTCATGAAATAATGGCGACTGGAGGTGTTTTGTTATTTTCGGCCTCTGGGGGCCATTACCCGTCCTCGGCACCGTCAAGAAACGACTCGGGAGGACAAACCAGTCATGGGGAATGGGTCGAGACTTCTGGGAGTCGACGTCATGGAAAAACATGGCGTCGGGGGTCTGGGGAGGAGAGAGAGAGGGGAGAAGGGAATCAAGGAGCGGCGAGGATGACGAGGGTCGCCTTCGTCGTCGTCGTCGTCCTTCTCCTACTCCGCTCCCTCACCCTCCCCGTCCTCCTCCACAAGCACTTGGGGGGGAGGGGGAACAGGACAGGGCAGAGGGGAGGAGGGGAGGAGGCAATCCAGGTGCTTTCGCTCTCACCATGTCTGATGTTCTAACCCTTCCCCATCCCTTCCCATTGCTCTGATGTGTTCTCTATCCGCCAGCGCGTGTCATAGCGGACCTGGAAGTGCAAAAATGTCCACCATCGTGTTATGCGCAGTCAGAAGAACAAGGCTGCGTACATTGGAGAAGGAGATGTCGGATGAGAACGAGGATCAACAGGAGGAGGAGGAGAAGGAGGAGGAGGAGGAGGAGAAGGAGGAGGAGGAGGAGGAGGAGGGGGAGGCGGAGGGGGAGGAGTATGATGAAGATGACGATGAGGAACAGCAAGCAGCAGGAGTAGGAGAAGCTGGAGGAGCTGGATGACCAGGGGAAGGCGGGGGAGGGGAAAGGAGCGGGGTGACAATAATGAGGAAGCATTCGGATCCAGGAGAGTGGTCTGCGCTTGGACCAGAGCGCCATTCCGAACGACTGGAGCAAAGCGCCGATCCTGGAGCGAGGCCAATGCTGCAGCGGCAGCGCGATTTTGTAGGACCAAAAAGGCGGAAATGAGGCCAGCACACCATTTTGAATAATCGAAGACGACAGCATTGCAACACTTCAGTAAGAAAAGCACGATTGGCATCCTGTGCGTAAGAAGCAATACGCGTAGAGGGCCGAATACTTTCTGGAGAGAGTCAGGGGAGACACGAGAGTAGTACTGATAAGGTGTAAGTGTGCAGGAGAGCGTCAGGAACACTCTGGAACAGTGAGGCAGCAAAGGCCAGCGTGGGTTCGAGGCGTGAGGGGGCGGAGAGGGGATGTGGAGCTTCAGGGCATCGCCTCTGGCCGTTGCTCGCGCTTTGGAGTTTTAGGCTGTATCTATCGCACCACAAGGCCGCTGCATGGCTGTCTCGTCATAAGGCCTCGGCTTGCCATCGCTACGAGGCAATCTCGCTCCAGGGCTGCAGTAGGGGGGCGCATCGAGGAGCCGCTCGCACTCTGCTTGCGTGCTTCGGGAAGCTGGATACATCCAGTGGAGGCCCATGCCAAGAAACACCCTGCTTGCCTCCAGGGTGCCCTGGGTTTCCTGGGTTTCGATGGTTTTGCGATGGAGAGCGCGACGTTCCTACCAAAAATCAATGGGCGTCCTGGGGTCTCAGGTTTGGGTTCCTTGCGGAAGGTTTCGTGTGGACTGGCCTCCTTTGCATGTCGCGGCCAGCCAGGGCGGGGGCTGGGCACACGTGTGGCCCGATGTGTTTCCAGCTCGCGGCCCTGCAATGGCCGGGCACGCGTATGCGTATCCTCGACACGTTCCCCGGACATTGGGCCATGTGGGTTTCCGGGGTCTCGGTGCTCTTGCAGTGGAGTTGGGGCACTCAAGCCTTGAGGCCATCGAATCTCGTAGGCTTCTGGATCTGCATCTCCTGCGGAGGTTCCTTGTGGCCGACGCCCTGCGGCACAGTGCACTGCCACGCGTGGGCGATCAGGACAGTGCCGTAGTCACATGTAGCGTGCACTAACCGACAAAAAACGCGTGTCCTGCAAGTGTGGCCAGGCCAGACCCACCGCGGCGACGGCGGTGGCGGACGAGGACGAGGAGGACGTCGACCGCCAGGCAGGGCTGGGGACTCAACTGCCGCGAGGCGATCGCTCTTCCTCCCACTCCACTTGCTCCTCTCGCTGCCCCTCCTTTCCGAGTCCTCCCCATCTGCACCCCCCTCCCGCTCCTTCTCCTCCCTCCTCCCGCCAACTCTTCGTGTCGGGTTCCCGCCTTGTTCCTCGCCCTCCCCTTCACCCCCCTTCATGCCCCCCTCTCCTCCCCTCCCCCCTCCCCTTCCCCCCCTTCCTCGGGAAGGGGAGGAGGAGGAGGAGGAGGAGGAGGAGGAGGAGGAGGAGGAGGAGGAGGAGGAAGAGGAGGAGGAGAAGGAGGAGGAGGGAGGGGGGATGGGGAGGGGGAGGGGGAGAGGGAGGAAAAGGAGGGAAGCTGGCCAAGAGGAGGATGAGGAGGACGACGAGAAGGAGGAGGAGGAGGAGGAGAAGAAGAAGAAGAACAAGGAAGAGACGGAGAAGGAAGAGGAGGAGGAAGAGGAGGAGGAGGAGGAGGAGGAGGAGGAGGGGAGGAGGAGAGGGAGAGGGAGGGGCAGGACGAGGAGGACAAGGAGGACGAAGAGGAGGGGAGGAAGGGAGGAGGAGGAGGAGGAGGAGGAGGAGGAGGAGGAGAGGAGGAGGAGGAGGAGGGAGGAGGAGGAGGAGGAGGAGGAGGAGGAGGAGGAGGAGGAGGAGGAGGAGGAAGGGGAGGAGGAGAAAGAGAAGGTGGAGTTGCAGCAGTCTAAGCCCATGACAACGTTGATGCTGCAATACAGGCAGTCTACTTCCCTAACTGTCACGAACTGCGGCGAACGCTCGATGGCACCACTGGCCTGCCGCCAGCTCAGCGGAGCGCCTGAGTGGTGGTCATCCCGTGCTCCCCCCGCAACCAGAGGCTTGGAATCTTGGACAGCTGGAAGAGTCAGGCTCCCTAAAAGTTTTCGCCGAGGAAGGGCAACCGCATCAACAGAAACTTATGGAGCTCCGCTTGGATTTCTTGGATCGGCACTGGGTCCACCTGGCGTTGCCATCAGATCCGCCCCTGGCGCACTCCGCTCGCCAGGGAAAGGGGCCCAGCACAGATCCAAGAAAGCCGTTCGGGCCTCCGAAAATTTGTACGTACGTGTGCAGTTGTTCTTCCTGGAAGTCAGGCTCCCCACGGTAGACACGTTCGGCGGCGTGCTCAGGAGGAAGGCCGAGGTGGCGAGCCTTCGCAGAAGGCTCAGAAGGCCTCTGGCCTTCTGGGGAGCTATCCACGCCTTCTCCGGAGCCGCAGAGAGTTTCTCAGAAGGCGCGGGTGCTTCTGAGAAGCCCCGCCACCATCGGAGAAGGCTTGCTCCCTTTCAGTCCTCCCCTCGGCGCGCCGCCAATTCGTATCATGCCGACGCGGCTGCGACCCCATCGCGGGCGTTTGAGTTGAACCTTGCCGGTGGCCCAGAGTCGGCCCATATGAAACGATCTGACGATCCAAAAGCCGCCGATCGTTCAGGGTTGAGCGATCCCCTGGATCGTCACGGCACAAAGCTGCCGCATGCCCATGCAGCAGGAAGTGGCTGGGCTGAACTGATGAGCCTATCCGCGTTGCGACGCGAGCGAGGGCGCACGGCAATGTCTGACCGTACCCTGTGCGCAAACACAGTACGCCCTCCATTCATACAGTTGGCAGAAACACTCGAAAGAATGCGTACTGCGCTGAGGCGATAACATTATTTCATCAGTGTGAGTGTGTTTAGCTTCAGGTTCCGGGGTGATGCATGGTGAGGAAGTCACAAGTCGAGGCCAGGCCTGAAAGCCATCCGACATCTGTTTAGTATAGCGGCTGGAAATGTCAAACTTCACATTATAATTTGCAGCAGCGGTTCAGGCGATAACGCATCTTTAGAGCGTGCGCGTTGTACCCATGCATCTGTCGGAACTGCCGATATTCGGAACCGTAAGTTGCGGGGCATTGTCAAGCGAGAGCCATATTTTGGTTCGTAAGGGCCAGGGCAGATTCAAGCAAAAACAAGGTGTCGACAGCAAGGTACCGTTGTAAAGATTCCAAGTAGCTTCCAGACCGTACACGCTGGGTAAAACGTGCAGCATTAGCCGAATTAGGAAAATGAGTTCTGGCCGTCTAAAGTAAAGCGCAGAGCGGCGCAAGAGAGAGCCAGATTTTGAACACCATGCCCTCAACCCGCGCGGTTGGCGGAATAGTTTCACGGGTCGGCGCCGTGACGTGCGAGGACGGGCGATCCGCTTGACGGCCCTGCCGACACGTCTTGTGGTGCGACGGGGAGAAATTACTCAAGACGCTTCGCGGTCACCGCCCGCCCATTCAAGGTCTCGCCAGACGAGGCGAAGACGGCTCCAAGACGGGATAAGCATAGCCGAACGTAATTTTAGACCCAGAGACGAAGATGGCGCCAAGACGGGATGCTTACATCCCGACAATGGTGATTGACCTCCGCACAGGTGTGTGCTTCGTATTCTGTCACGACGGGGAGACATGCATGGTTCCAGTGGCTTGCGCCGTTCCGCCGACCCCCCAGAGGAGAAGCGACGTCCACAGCTGGGGCCTGCTGCGTCCCGGGAACTGCTCGGGGGGCCCACTGGGGGGCATATCTTGGGCTCCTTTGAGGGGGGCCTCTGGGAGCCCCTTGGGGGATTCTCTCGGGGATTCTCTCGGGCGGCGGTCTGCTCGGGGATTCTCTCGGGGATTCTCTCGGGGATTCTCTCGGGATTCTCTCGGGGGCTCTCTGCAGGGCGCCCGCTGGCGGTCTCGGGGCTTCTCTCGGTGCGGAGGGCTCGACATGGCAGTCTTCCCCCCCCTCGGGCCCCTTCGTGAGGCTCCGTGGGGGCCCCTGTGGGCTGTCTTGGGCGCCTCTTTGGGCCGTTCTGGTGGGCCCCTGGGCCGTCATTGGGGGCCTCTCAGGGACTTGGGCCGTCCTGGAGCGACCTCGGGGGCTTCTTGGGCCGCTCTCAAACCGTCGCCACCAACCGGGTCAACACGGGGAAAGCGTGAGAGCGCCCTTCTGGAACTGGAGCGACTGGGGCCTCCTGGGGCTCTCGTGGGCGTCCTCTCGAACCTGTCTGGGTGCGCTTTGGAGTCTTGGGCCGTGATGGGGCTACAGTCAAAAACCCGAACAAGGACGCGCGACTTTGCTCAGGGTACCCTTGCGTCACTGCTCTTCCTTGCTCTTGCGGCTCGTCATCGGCCTCGTTCGCCGCCCCAAAAATCCAAATTTCGGCTCCCAGGGGTCTTGCGTCCTCACCGCGCGTCCTTATTGGGGTGTTTGACCGTATCTTGGTTGTTTTCGAGGCCTCCTCGGCGTGTTGGAGCCCAGCTTGCGCAAGCAGCTGAAAGGGCATCTCGGAGGCCACGGAGCGCAGAAGATGGAGGCTCCGGAGGCCCCAGGGGAGCGTTGAGGAGCCCAGGAAGCCCCATCACCCCCCGGAGGCCCCCACCAGGCCCCTCCGAGGGCCGCAGCCTCGAGTCGGATTTCACACCCCAAGGGAGGGGGAGAAGGGCGGCAGGGGACAGCGGGTCATTTCACACGCCTTTGCACCCTGGGCAAGCGGGGGTTGGCGGATATGCACCCGGAAAGAGGACAGGGGAAATGAGCAGGAGGAGGAGGAGGAGGAGGAGCAGCAAGAGAAAGGGAGAGGGAGTAAGAGAGGGAGAGGAGGAGGTCGAAGAGGAGAAGGGGGAGGCGGAGGAGGAGGAGGAGGAGGAGGAGGAGGAGGAGGAGGAGAGGAGAAGAAGAAGAGAAGAAGGAGGAGGAGGACGAGGAGGAAGAGGAGGAGGGGGAGCAGACGGAGGAGTAGGAGGAGTGGGGCGAAGGATGGACTGGACGAGGAGCTGGGTTCCTTGGAGGTCCTCAGCAGCCTGGAGTTCTCCGGACGGCTTCGGAGACAAGGAGGAGGAGGCGGAGGAGGAGGAGAAGCAGGAACAGGAGGAAAAGGAGGAGGAGGAGGCGGAGGCGGAGGAGGAGGAGGAGGATGGGGAGGAGGAGGAGGAGGAGGAGGAGGAGGATGGGGAGGAGGAGGAGGAGGCGGAGGAGGAGGAGAGGGAGGCGGAGGAGGAGGAGAAGGAGGAGGAGGATGAGACGGAGGAGGGGGAGGAGGAGGAGGAGGAAGAGAACGACGAGGAGGAGAAGACATGACAGAGACCGCGCTCCGAAGATGTGATGGGGCCCTACCCAGGTGGCACTGCTGCTGGCGAGGATTCCGCAGGAGAGCTGTGGGGCCTCCTCCTCTTCCATATCCTCCTCCTCCTCCTCAACCTTCCTTCTGCCCCTCCTCCTCCTCCTCCTCCTCCTCCTCCTCCTCCTCCTCCTCCGCCTCCTCTTTCTCCCTGACCTTCCTCCTGCCGTATTGACACATTCACCTCGGAGGTTTATCGCCAGTTTCGGCCTCAGGGGGGCCATCGCCGGGCCCTAGGACGGTCAAACATTTACTTAGGGTGAAAGTTGGCCCTGGGAAAAGAGTCGGGGCTCCCAGGGACCGCGTGTTGCAAAAACACATTGGATGTACAGGTTGTCGCCCTCGTCCATTCTCCCTCCTCTGCCATCTCAATGTTCATCTCCCTCCCATTCTCTCCGCCGCATATTACCCTCTCTCGTGCTCCTCCTGTATGTTCGCTGCTCTTCCTCCCGCTCCTCCTCCTCCTCCTCCTCCTCCTCCTCCTCCTCCTCCTCCCCTCTCCTCCTCCTCCTTCCTTCTCTTCTCCTTCCCTCCTCTCCTCCTCCTCCTCCTCCTCCTCCTCCTCCCCGTCCTCCTCCTCCTCCTCCTCCTCCTCCTCCTCCTCCTCCTCGTCCTCCTCCTCTCTCCTCCTCCTCCTCCTCCTCCTCCTCCTCTCTTGATCCTCCCTTCCTCCTCCTCCTCCTCCTCCTCATCATCATCATCATCTCCTTTTCCTCCTCCTCATCCCCTCCTCCTCTCCTCCTCCTCCTCTCGTCCTCCTCTCCTCCTCCTCCTCCTCCTCCTCCTCCTCCTCCTCCTCCTCCTCCCTCGTTGACTCATGGCCCATGGCCCATCTCCCTCATCTCCTCCCTCCTCCTCCTTCAGCCCCCTGTCCTGAGGTCCCAGCCCCTTCCCTGGAGCCTACCTTTCGCCGGGAGTTCCGAGCAATTGTCTGACTGTCCTGGGGCCTGGCGAGGGCCCGCAGAGGTCGAGGGATGTCGAAGACATGCACTCGTGCTCTTGCTCCACCGCGCGAGGGGGCCTGGGTTTTCCAACAGCAGAGGGGCAGACACCCCTCCCCCTCCCCTCACACCAACCCCATGCACCGTCCTCTTGCTCCCCCGACCTCTCCCCCTACACCTCTTCCTTCCCCCTCATCCTACTCCTCCCCTCCCCCTTGCCCGAAGAAGATGCGCCGCTGCCCTTCGGGTCAAGCTCCGGAGCGATAGACGTTTTTGCGATTGGAGAAAAAGGGGAACATGTCTTTTCTCTAACTGCGCCCCCGTGTCATCCATCAGTGCCAAGCCCACAAGAGTTTTCCGTAGCGGAGCTGGTAACAGTTCACTGCGATCCACAAAATTTGTTCAGAGTGCGGTGTGGACACGCGTGCGCACGTCCTTCCATCTCTGCATTGGACCAATTCTTACTCATTGAACATATGGTGATTAAGGATGTTCTGCAGCCGGGGAGGCATCCCGTCAGCACGACGCGAGATGCCCCCCCCCTGGACATTCGCAGTCGGAGCGGACTGGTTCGACGAGGGCAAAGCCGCACGGAGACACCGGATCGCACCCAGTTGCATGGTTAATCCCATCCTGCCGCCCGCCACGACGGCAATTACCCACAACCACTCAAGCATTGGTCGCGGTCATGGTGTCGGCGCTGGCCTGTGCCAAAGCTTGAGCTCGTGCAGTGCGCAGCAGTGTTGGCCTGCATGTGGTTGAGCACGCTGCGCGCGCCGAGCGACGCGCAGCAAGTGAATTTCAATATCACAAGCCGTTGCCATCGCCAAGAGCACTGTCGCAAACACAGTTAAGCCATGCACCATACTGGTCGTCCTTTCCCTCCAAGCTGGAGTCCGAAGGCGCTTGCGTCGTTTATCTCCAAGCATGCATGATGCCAGGCAGAGCCGCCCTGCCAGGAGTTGCCAAGGCGGCCCAAGGGGATGCGCCAACTTCTGGCAGCCCCGTGCATGGTCGCCCGAGCCAGAATCCGCGCACCTGTTTCGCTAGTGGGTCCAGGACCTCCTCCTGTGGAGTGTGATCGCGACGGACATGGACAGTGCCCAGCAGCGCGCTGCCATCATCCAGGGTGGTGGCACCATGGAGCTGGGACCACTGACGGGGGTCAAGCGCCTCAGAGCCATCTTGCCTCAGGTTCTTCCTCTTCGTCCTGCTCCTCCTCCTCCTCCGCCTCCCCCTCCTCTTCCTCCCCCTCCTCCTCTTCCCCCTCCCTGCCCTTCCCCCCATCCTCCCCCCCCCCGCCGCCCCACTCCACTCCCCCCGCTCTCCCCCCCAGACACATTCCCCCGCAGAGGGGCAGACGCCCCCAGGAGGGCCGGGGGGCCGACGAGGCGGCCGTGGCCGCGCGCCGCGCAGCCGCCGCGCAGGCTCCGCGGGCTCTGGGGGCTCCGGAGGGGGAGGGGGGCCAAGCTCCAATGGAAGTAAAAGACCCAGACCCCCTCGAGTCATGAAAAAAAATCTCGACGGAAGGTGCATCGTTATTTCTGGCCTCCAGGGGCACTTCCCGGGCCTCCGGACCTTCAGAAAACGATTCAGGATGAGAAACCGGGGAAGGGTCCAGACCTCTGGGGGTCGACGTTGTGAACAAATCACGACGTCGGGGGTCTGGGGAGTGACTTCGCGACCCAGACACGTAAGACCCTGAGATCTTGGCGACT